GGGCAATCACGGCAGAATCCCAAGCTACCGAGAGCAGGGAGCGGCAGATGGGAGTCAGCCCTGCCCTGGGTGCGGGCTGTGTCCGGCTCCCCCTCCGCCAGCGCCTTTCTGCACAGTTTCCGTTGGCTTCTGTTATCTAATGCAGCTGCCAGTCTCCCGCACCTGCTCCACAGGAAGAGAAAGATCCTGCACCACCCACGGCTCGAAGGGCAGCTCCCCACATTCACACGGACGCCAACACAAGCATCTGTGGGCCGCACTGACCCCCAGGATGCCCTCTTCTGGACCGGAACAACCCGAACCCTCTGCCCTTCCCCGTGCCCTGAGGAGCTCTGCCGACCAAACCCCAGGGCTGGCTCCCGGGACTCTGGCCAGCATCCGACAGCTTGGTGTACAACAGGGGCCAGAATCCCTTTCCTGGAGGTGGCCAGAGACTGCGTATCTTTGGGTCCCTGTCCGACTGCCCAGCTCTTCCACTGCCGTGGGAAATGGGGAAGCACCGTCCAGTGCCCCAGGGCATCACCCTGTCCTCCAGATTCCTCTCACGGCATAGGCACTGCCTCTGGCTGGCCCTCGGGCCCAGCTCAGCGCAGCCATGACTGATCACTTCCAGGGTTCCGAGGACCAGCCTCGCACTTGGGTTCTGCACCCTTTCAAACTGTGGGTCCACCACTCTTTCACGAAAACAACTGTATAAATATTTGCTTTTCATATCCATTACTTGTGCAATTTACTTCTCCGTCACCCATGAAATGAACTTTGTTCTCTGGAGAACTTTGTTCCCTACATTCCTGACCCCATTTTTTAACTTCAAAGCAGCTTTCCCTTATGACCTTCTTTGTTAGGGACTGACCTGAACCCATCTGCCTGATGGAGAGACCTTGTCAGGCTCATTGTCAGGTTCTTCTAGAAAATGCTTGCAGCTTCAGGGGGTCAGAACAGGACAGGGAAGCCCTGGTGCCCTTGCTGGACTGCACTGAGAGCCAGACCAGCCACCCGGGCCATGGAGGTTGGCGCCACAATGGGGACACGGTGGGCCCCCTGACTTTGTGTTCACACAGGGACTCCCTTAACCCTGCCAGCAAGCCAAAGACCCTCCACACCGGTAATTACTCCTGAATGCTCCACGCTAAAGAATGAACACGCTAACACTCACAGGCTTCGGAAACCACTCCAGAAGGAGGTACCTGATGAGGGCATCCGAAAACGCTAACTAATGCCCACTGAGTCGGACACGAAGCGAACGGACCTTCACATGTGGCACACAGGTCTACAGAGAGGTCAGGTGCCACCCAGACACTCAGTCACTCTCTGCTTCCCAATCCCCGCACAGGCCAATCTTCCCAGCTATCGTCTACACCAGCTAAAACACTTCATCTGGCAGGACCCACGAAATAAACAGAGGCTGCCCGGTGGCCTGGCCCACGTCCCTAACCTGAGCCGCGGTCGGCCAGGAAATGCATCCCTAACACCACTCCTGACACTCCATCCCTAACACACGGGTTAGCCAGCTCACTGGCCCCTCACAGGTGGGACCTGCTAGCTTTAGAGGACCCCCGGCTTCCCAGCCAGCCAGGCCTGTCCCCGCCGTGGCACTTCGAAGGTTCCATGAAACTCGCTCTAGCCCCAGACCCCTCGGAAGTGCAAGCTGGCTGTGAGGCAGGGCAGCCCTGACCCACGGGCCATTCTCCCTTGAATAAAGGGCATCAAACTCTTTACTAAGTTGTTGTGGCTCCGTCACTTGGCGCTCTCCATTCAACAGCCAAGCCCTGCCTACCTTACTTCTGCACTATGTTAGACCCAAATGCTCACCTCCTCTGTCCCCGCAGTCCACCCTTCAAAACACAGCTCAAAAGACCCTCTTGAAAACTGGATCGCTTTTGGTGGCTTAATTCTGTTCGTGGCACCAAACCGTAGATTCTGGATGACAGGGCTCCTGCCCACATCTCCAGCCACGTCTACGCGCTGCACCCAGAACGGGATTTGTCTCAGCAGTACTGACATTTCGGGCTGCATCAGTCTCCACCGTGGGGGCTATCCTGGGCACTGTCAGGGGTCTACCGGCACCCCTGACCTCTGCCCAAGAGACGCAGGGGCCCCTCATGCCCAGTGTGACAACCAAAAATGTCTCCTGACACTGCCCAGTGTACCCCGGGGCAAAATCATTCCTCCTGCCTCCACACATCCTTCCAGCCCCGGGCCCCACGGAGAGTCACTCATCCAGTGCACTGGACACTGCTAACGCTGCGCAAGCCGGGTCTGGAAGGACCTGCTCCCCCCCTTGACCCCACCTGCTGCCCCTTCACCCAAGAGACCAACCCGCGCCCGCCTGTCCAGTGAAGCGCCGTGGTAGCACGAATCACTCATGTTTACCGAGTGCACACTAGGCACCCGGCCCTGCTGTAAAACACTGAAAACGTAGGGACGCATGTTTGATTTTCCTAACAAACCTGCGAGGCAGATCCGAGCAGTATCCCCTCCTCCTGGATAGGACACTGAGCTGCAGAGCGCTTACGGGGCCTGGCTTCACCTCAGCGGCTGCGAGCCCGCCTGTGAAGCCGGGAAGCCGTACTCCAGAGCTCGTGCTTTCCTCAGTTTGTGACGCCCAAAGGCCTCTGCCCGCCTCTCGCCTGGGATGGGCCGCCTGCCTACATGCTCCCAGGGCCCCTGGACCTCCCTGTCCGCATACTCGACAGGATTCTGCAATGCTGCTTCCGGACCGGGTCTGCGTTTGCATCTATAAACAGATACCCAAGGATGGACCTGCTTCATCTTTTTTTTTAATTTTATTTTAAAGATTTTATTTATGTATCGACAGAGAGGGCGAGTGAGCCAGAGAGCCCGAGCAGGGGAGTGGGAGAGGGAGAGGCAGACTCCCCGCTGAGCAGGGAGCCCAATTCGGGACTTGATCCCAGGACCCTGAGATCATGACCTGAGCCAATGGCAGACGCTTCACCAAAGGAGCCACCCAGGTGCCCCCGTTTCTTCTTTTTGAAAATCCAGTATTATCTAACTCACACCCCCTCCTCTGCTACACTGAAGGGAAGCCCAATCTTCTTCACTTGGGGGGCTCCCTGCCCCATGGCCTGGGGTCACTTGAAGGTCAGAGGGGTCTTGGGCAGGGAGCGTGTGTGTAGATGCTCTAGCTCCAGGAGAACGTCTGTCACCAAGGGAACCTCCATTCCCCTCCCGTTCCAGGACACCTGGCATTCTTTCCTCAAAGCGCCTCGGTTTTCACAGGCCCCAAGATGTCTTTGGCAACCCTGGAGTCTTCCTTTTCTGCATTCCCTCCAGAGTGAAAGGGGGACAAGGCTGGCTCTGAAGCGACCAGAGCACAAAGAGCCCTTCGGGCGCAGTCAGGAACACAAAGGACAAGCAGCACAAGGGGCCTGCACAGTCCCCACGGCCATGTTGCCTACTCCTCCTAATGGCCCTCTGGTGGGGGCCGCTGGGGGACCTTTGGAATATTGGGGTTCGTATGTACAGTTTACATCCTGAGCAAAACATTTAAGAGCTGCTTTCTCTAGTTCCCTAATGGGACCGAGTGTCTCTCTCTGACCCTCACCCTTCCCAGCACTGGCCCCCGGGACATGCTAGATTCCAGACAGCCTGGCCTTCTGGTTCTCAGGCTCGCCAGCCTCGGTCTGGCCTCGGAACCTGCGCTCTGGCTTGTCCCCGCTCCGGAACCATCCTCCCAGACCAGAGCTTAACAGGCACTAATCACTGCCTGAAACGGCCTCCTTTAATTTTGCGGACTCCTGCAGGCGCTCGCCCTGCTGAAATGTGCTTCCTCAGAGCAGAGGCCACAGGGCACCTCCTCCCTCCGTGAGCCTATGAGAGAACGCAGGGGCACTGAAATTAAAGCGAAGATAAACCTGTATGATGAAAATCCTCATTGTGAAATCCTAATTGTAAACCTCAGAAAACTAATTTATCCTCTAACAGTCATTGCCACATATGATCTGGAGGAGAACTGTAACAGTGGGAAGGGACATTAAAGGCTTTGCCCCAATCACTCATTTTAATGATGGGGAAGCAGACCAAGAGAGGGGAAGTAAGTTGAGAAATTTCATGAAGCAAGTCAGTTAAAAACAAAACAAATCTCTCCATTAAGCTTCAGGCACTAACCTGCTCTGGTCCTGCCCTGAGGGGCTTCCGTAGCAGAGAGCAGACAAAAAGAACACAACTAAGCATTTGACCGGATTGCTGCAGCCCAAGTGCTGAGAAGGTGAGCCCGCAGGAAGAGGAGGATGGAACAGGGAATGCTGGGAGCGGAGGAGGGAGGCCCCCCGGAGAGCAGGGTCCACCTGAAGGATGAGGGACCGCTGGCGTGTTTGCTGCACGCTGGGCCTGGAAACCCTCCCCAGGCCCCCAGCTTCAAGGGACCCTCCTTTGCACTCAGGATTCCGCGCAAATGTCACTTAAGCAGGGAGGCCTCGCTGGCGCTCTGGCCCGAAACAGCCCCTAACCCTGTTAGGTTATATACATCGCGTATGTCACGGCAGACATCCCTGCATTTTTGCTCTCTCCCCCCACGGCAATGTAAGCGTCACACAGACCTCACCGCGGTTCTCCTTGCTGAGTCCCCAAGCCTAGGTTGCTCCTAATACACAGAAAGCACCAGTGACCACAGGCGTGAAAGACGTGCGCACAGAGCAGCCCAGCAGTCCCTGGAGCGCTTTCTTTCCACCGTCCTGCCCCAGTGCCGGTTCCTAAGCGGGGTTCCCCACCCCCCAAACAACCCCAGGAGCTAGTGGGGGCCCATGAGGACAGCCGCATCCAGGCCGGCCCGGGCACCGGCCTGGGGCTGGGTCCTGCGCTCCCACCGCCCCCACCTCCCTGAGCCCCCGCGGGTCGCGCGCCCTGCCGCCGCCTTTCCGCGCCCGCACAGGCCCCTGCGCGCCAGCCCGTCCGTTTGGGCGCGCGGTCCGGGCGGCCGGGTGGCCCCCGCCGATGCCCCGCGCTCACATCGCGGATGCTAGGCCAGCGCCTGCACCTACCGGACGCGCTCCGCCGTGACGGCATTGCCTGTGTGCCGCCGCAGCACAGCCAGGAACAGGAGCCGCATGCCGCCGCTGTCCCCGCCGCGGCCCAGCCATGGACCGCCCAAGGCCGCCGACCAGGCCGGGGGGCGGGGGCACGGACCGAGGGGAGGGGGGGCGGGGACACGGAGGAGCGTGAGAGGGGGACGGGCGGGAGCCTGGGCGGCGGGCGGTGGCACTGGGTTGGTCCCGCCCGCCGCTCCCAAGGCCGCGCCCGGCACTCGCTGGTTCTGGAACGGGGTTCCGGCGCGCGGGGACCTGGGGGCAGGAGGAGACGCGAGACAGCTCCCACGGGACCAGCACCGGGGTTCCCCGGGTTCCCGCCCATGGGAGCCAGAAGAGATCACAGGTAGACTCTCAAGGCTCCAAGGGAAAGGGTGGGTCCACTCCCATGGGGACCAGGCCGTAGCTCTGCTCCTGTGGGGACTAGCGCCAAAGGTATTTTGGGTCCCCTCCTACAGGGACCAGCAGCAGGGGTGACTGCAGATGCCCCCCCCCCAGGAACCACCGAGATGGCATTCCATTCACACCAGGGTGGTCAGAGTCTGCCCCTCAGGTATCAGGACCAGGGTCTCTAATATGGCTTGAAAAACCAGAGATGTTTCCAACTTAAGTCAGCATTTCCACGGTGCACAAGCCAGATCTGAGGAGGAGCTGTCCACTCCAGATGTGTGAAAAGATAAACGCGGGCACATGAAGATTCCTAAGTTTGTCTGAGCGGAAGTTGACTCCAATGGAGCAGTACTAAACTGGAAACGGTTGGGGGGTGGGTAGAGGAGAGGCCTTCACACAGAAGATGCCAGAGCAAAGAAAGTATGTTATTAGGTGGCTCCCGCTGAAAGCCGGGTCGCCGTTTGTGACTGGTTGTGCTGACGTGTCAACTTCCTAACAGTCACCTCGAGGCACTGGCAGAGTTCTCTCTCCGCCTGAGTACAGCAGCACCCAGTGTTAGAGCCCCATCAGTCCGGGGGCCTCCCGTTCAGTCTAACAGCTGGGGCCTGGACTCTTCCGTGCACCACAGCGCTGACGGGCTCACTTCGACGCCTCCACCATCTCCATCTGAATGTGAAGGAGAAACTGACGCTTCTGTCTGGCTGCACCGTCACCACGGACCCAGGCTTCTAAGTCCAGCATCCCGGTGTCTGTCCTCTGTTCTCAACACGGCCATAAGGCGCAGCATACCTGCAGCAGCCCCAGCCATCAAGTTCACATTCCAGGCAGGAGTGAGGCCCCGCACGAGGGTGCACTGAAGAGCTCTTCCTGGCATGTCACACAGCCAAGGCCTTTCTCTTAAGGTGTACATGACCACATCTTCCATCCCTGCAGCCAGGCACTACATCTATCAGCTGGGCGCACGGCCGCCCTGAGGCAAATGCCGGTCACTGAGAACACGGTTCTAGGGATTTGGACGTGGACATCTCTTCTTCGAGCCAACCACTCTACGCACTAAACGGCCCATTTCAAAAATGAGTTTGTGTATGAAGGCCCCACCTCCCACACAGGGGACTACTTATTCCCCACTTCTACAGCCGGGGCTCTCTGACCCCCAGATGGTCCCATTCTGTGTAATAATCAGAAGCCAGCCCTTCCCTCTGCCTGGGTCTTCACGCGGGCTCCAACTTCCCTGTGCTTGGGAAGAGGCTGTGGGTAGAGAAGGCACTCAGTAGATGTTTGCTGAATGACATCCCCGAATAAGGCACTGCTGTTAAATTTTATTCCTATGATAATGCGGTCCTGATGCTTTAATGGAAGTCAGCGTTGCGTCAGGATCTGCTGCTGAAATTCACTTTCATTGGATTTTTCTGGAATACACCTGTTCTGTAAGGTAAGAGGTTCTGACAGATCTTTGAGGGCCCATTACTTTATTCATTCATTGCTTCAGTTTACCCGTTTATAAGACAAAAAAGACTGTATATAGTATCATAGCTAATTAGTTCATTTTTGGTGAAGTCTTTTGTGACTCTCCCAAGTAGGTAATAGAAAAGGGTACAAAGACAAATGTGTTACTGTGGGATAATACGGAAATAATTACGGGGGGTGGGCGGCGACTACAACAGAAAAGGTTTTAAGCATCTCAGTATTTCTCCAGATGCTTCTAACATAAGGGTCTTAAAATATATGTAAAGCAAAATCTGCTTTTTCATCACAGTGTTTGCTCAGACTATTTCTCTAGTTCACGGCACCATGGAAAATGAAAGCTTATTATCTCCCCTGTATTAAAGTGATAGCATTTCAGGGGAGAGCACCCTGGGCATATTGACTTTAGAAATGGTTTATGATAAAAATCAGCACCTGACATCTTTTTTCCCTCATTTTTTTTTGCCTTCATGACATTAACAAGTGGTGCACTCTCCTCTTTTTCTAGCAGATTCCAATCTCCGTACCATTATTCTTCCCCACCATAGTACTGAGAACTACAAATATTGGGGGTGGGGGTGAAGGAGAGAGAGAGACGGAGAGAGCACTTTCTAAATACAGAAGACAGAGGCAGAACTGCTACGCTCTCTCTTCCGTCCTTCGCCGACAGCACGCGGATGTGACCACACACATGAGCGAGCTGTTGGTCTAAAGTAACTAGTTTCTTCCAGCCTCGCTTAGGGAACATGGTCACTAGTCAACCAAAACTAAACAACTTTCCCTTTGAGCTTTCGGCAAAAAAGCGGGCCTTCCTTCCCACTGCTGTGCTGAACATGGGGCATACGGGGTTCTTAACTCTACAGCACAAGGACTCACATCCCAGAGCTCTCATCACTGCCAAATGGGCCGGGACGCCTGACAGCTCTGGTGCAGCTCACTTCAATGCCTCCACCATCTCCATCTGAATGTGAAGGAGAAACTGAAGTTTATGTCTGGCTGCACCGTCACCACGGACCCAGGCTTCTAAGTGCAGCACCCCAGTGTCTGGCCTCTGTTCTCAACATGCCATAAGGCACATCATGGTTCTAATAATGCGGGAGGCAAAGGTCCCATCGTTGCGCATAAGAGGTTGGCTAGAAGGAAGATACAGTAACAACCTGTTGTACGTGCTGACCCATACTTATTCTTTTAAACTTCTTCTTCTTCTTTTTTTTTTTTTTAAGATTTAACTCGAGAGAGCGAGCGAGTACATGACCAGGGGAAGGGGCAGAGGGAGGAGGAGGAAATCTCAAGGCAATTCCCCACTGAGCACAGAGCCTGATGCAGGGCTCGATCTCACCACCCTGAGATCATGACCTGAGCCCAAATCAAGAGTCAGACACAACCGACTGAGCCCCCCAGGTGCTACTTTTTCACTTATTTTTATTAAACACTCACATATGATTAACACACACAGATAAAACAGAATTTAAACACCACACAGAATCCCACTGTCCTCAATACTTTGGTCTTGAGTTTTTCCAGACTGGATGGATGAATGGAACCGCGGTGCCCATCACGCAGCTATGGTGTCCTGAGCACTCTCCGGCAACCCTCCACCAGTCCCTCCTCCAACCCTGGGGGGGCAGGTACTACTGCTGTCAGCACTTCACAGACGGAGAAACGGAGATTCGAGAAGGTGTACGTCTCCCATAGCGGCGTGGACAGTGCGGCCTCTGCGGTCCTTCAGCTCTGCTATACAGACCGGGGCACAGCACCTTGTCGGTGACAGCTTGCATTGCTTTGTGTCTCTCACTTTACTAAAAGTAAAAATGCTTTCCATGGGTCTTTTGTTATTGTTATTATTTGCTCTTTTTTTCAGACTTAATCATCACGGTAGGCATTTTTTTCTCCTTTGGTGAGTAAAGCCACAGACGTTTATTTAAAAGGACGGACACAGACAAAGCTCTCAGGAGTGAGGGGTCGCGACAGGGCTGCCCGCGGCAGGCAACATTCTAACATGGCCCCAAGAGCGCCAGCCTCCTGATGGGCGCCTTCTTCCAGGTACTCAATCAAATGCCTGTCCAGACGATGAGGTGAAGAGAATTTTAAATTACATTTCCAAATCAGTCGCTCTTAGAATAGGGAGGTCATGCAGGGTGAGTCTTGCCCAGTCACTGAAAGGCGCTGGGCCTTCCTTGAGGTCTCCCGGCCTCCGCCGTCAGGGAGCCTCTGCTGCCGGAACTGGGGCCAAAGGCGGCCACGTGCACGGAGCGCCGGGGGGCTTTCGGGGCTGAGAGCAGCCCCAGCCGCCAGGCAGCAGGAAGCAGCCCCTCTACTCCCCACCTCACAGAGCTACATTCGGCCACAATCGCAGGAGCCACGACGAAGTCCAGATGGGGCCTCAGCCCAGCCCGCACCTTCACTTCTGCTCTGAGACCGGGAGCTGGAACCACTCGGTCATGCCCGGCCCCGAGGCTCACACAGCTGTGAGCGGACACACTCTGGTCTTGCCTGAGCCCCACAAAGCTGTGGCAATTTGTTTTGTCACAGTAGAAATGAACACGATGTGTCTTGAACGTGTTTCTACCTCAGAATCTGGTGTCATCTGAGTAACTACATAGTGCCCCAGTTTACCCATGGACTATAATCAATGCCTTGCTGTTTCCCATTTTTTGGCTATTTTAAATAACAGTGCCATGAACATTTTTTTTTTTTTTTAAGATTTATTTGACACAGAGAGAGGGATCACAAGTAGGCAGAGAGACAGGTAGAGAGAGAGGGGGAAGCGGGCTCCCTGCTGAGCAGAGAGCCCAATGCGGGACTCGATCCGAGCACCCTGGGATCATGACCTGAGCCGAAGGCAGAGGCTTAACCCACGGAGCCGCCCAGGCGCCCCTGCCATGAACATTTTATACTAAGTCTCTGCACACATTTCTAAATTCCCAGCAGTGACACTGCACATTCAGAGTGTGGGCAAACGTGGTTTTGATATGAACAGCCAACTGCTAGAACCCTTGTACGGAATTTACCAGTTCATTGACCGCTTACAAGTATGCTCACTTCACTGCCCGACAAGTGCCAACAAGGACTATTTTTCAGTTCAAATGACGTGTCCCCTCTTTTTGCATTTTTAAGTTACTGGCGTAATTTGGCTTTGTCTCCTCGAAGGGCACTTCCCCCGTGTGCGTGCACGCACGTACATGACTGCTTGCACTAGCTGGAACTTTTCCACTCGCAAAGGACTGGAGAGTCACACCTGCTTAACCAGAAAGGGAAGTCACGGGCTCACCGCTCAAACGTCCAGGAAATAGAGCTACTTTACGTGACGGGCAGAACCTGGACCCACAACACGTCCTTTTCAAACAAGGTCTCTCTTCATCCCTACCTTTTTCTGAGTTGTTTCATTCCCAAGTTTTACAAGATGGCCCACGGCAACTCTAGGCTTGTATCTTTAGAACTACAACTCGAGCAGAAAGAACAGTTCATCCCTGGTCCTCCAGAGTA